TAAAATCATCTCTAATGCAATTTTGTAATAATTTATATGAATAAAATACTGGATAAATTAATTTAAAAATGTAAAAATTATGAAAAAATATCAATTGATGCTAATGCATAGTTTTAAAGGTATATATGCATTTCAAAATATTGAAGGAAAAAATTGGGTATCAACAAGTAACATTGTTTGAAATTCGGAGGCACAAGTACATGAGTGTCTAGAATACTATAAATACAATATGAAATAAAGTACAACTATCTGAAACTAAATAAACAGTCTAACCTGGTAAAAGGGGACTTCAGGGACTGCAAATGCTAGAAGCTCTACCTCAAGTCTCATGTAGCTATCAAATCCTCCGCTACGCACCACTGGGACAAACACCAACATCTGCACAACAAGTGCAGAAGTGTGGCATGAGTATAATCGATCTTATGTACTCTGTAAGTGCTAAGCCAAACCTCGATGAAGTAGTGATGAGGCTATGGAAAGTCACTTACAATAAACCTATACGAAGTAATAATAACAAAAATAGTAACAAAAATAAAGCAATAAACTCATATAAACGGACCTGAAGGTCAACTACCAGAGGGCCTCAGAATAACATAATCTCATATCACAATATTGAGAATAAACTCTACAACCACAAACAACTACAACACTTCAAACCTGTTGCGGCGTACAACCTGATCCTAAGTTTCAACACAGTATGTTTCACAGCGTACAACTCATTTTCAATATCATTTCATATCATTTTACTAGAAGATCTTCAAGCATAAATGATATCATATTGAATAAATGATCTCCTATTTCTTTTTTGATTGAAGCATTAGATCTGTATCGTAATTCTGAACCCGTAGAAAAAAGAATTGTCGAACTTGGACATCGTATGAGAATTTTATGGTCATTTTACTAAGAATTAAGTTGCCAGATTTTTCAGAGTAATTATGAAATTGCCACTAGCAGCATATTTAAAAATCTGCACTATTTGCAAATATTAAAACCTACATATCTCATTCATTACAAGATCAAATTAGGTGATTCAAAAGCCTAACTTGACTAGAATTTCACAAGAAATCCATTGGAGGAATAAAATACGAGTTTTGGGATCATTTGGTATGAGAAACGAGGTAGAATAGCTGGCAAAAAAATATATAACACTAGGGTTTGTTCATTCGGTCATATTTTGAGTTGGGGAGCTCGGATTTGGGCGATTTTGGAGGCGATTTTCACCATATGGATTGGGGTAAGTGTTCTTTACTCAATTTTGGTTATATTTCATGAGTTCATCTTCTTTTTTGGGATTTCATTGATGATTTCAAAGTGAAATTGAGGGAGTTAGGGCTTGAGTTTTGGAGAGTTTGAGGTAGGGATTTGAGGGACCAAACGGAGTCCGATTTTGATAAATTTTATATGGTTAGACTCGGGAGAGAATGTGATTTATTATTCTGCCATTTTTGACTGATTCCGAGACGTGGGCCTTGGGGCCAGATTTTGGCCGATTTCAGATTCCTTGCTTATATTGTAATTTTTATTGTGGAATTTGATTCTCTAGCACATGATGATGGTATTAATCTGATTATGGTTAGATTCAGAGCTTTTGGAGATCGATTCTAGAGACGAGGGCATCCCAGAGTAGGATTTTATGTAGTTGAGGTAAGTAACAATTTTAACTCTGGCTTTGAGGATATAAACCCGGAGAATTTGACATCATGTGACTGTTTAGAGGTGATACCCATGCTAGGTGATGGGCGTGTGGGTACATACCTCGAGGGATGGAGAGTTGGTCCGTCCCGTGAGGCCTCATGGCCATCATCTGTATTTACGTAGTTACTTGTTGTTGAACTTGTCTACCTCCATGTTAGAGATCATGCTTAGGCTTTATTCATGCTCATATAATTTGTAATCAGTCATAGAAATTATTTTACATATTTACCTCAGTCTCTATTTTTTGCTAATATGCTGTGATATTTGATGTGGGTTGTGTCTCCTTATTTGTTGATGATAGTGAGGCTAGTGATACATGATTGAGTGAGGCCGAGTGCCTGGTTGTGAGGATATTGATACCATAGCATGTGAGTTGTCCGCGTAGCACGTGATTTGACCGTGCGGGTTCAGGTATTGATACCATAGCGCGTAAGTTGTCCGCGTAACACATGAGTTGACCGTGCAGATCCATGTATTGATATGATGGCACGTGAGTTGTCCGTGCTTAGCGCTTGGGCTTTGGGAGCCCCTCCGAAGTCTGTACACACCCCTAGTGAGCGCAGAGTGTTGAGTGTATTAAGTGTTGAGTGTTGGGTGTTGAGTGCGAGTGCTGAGTGATGGAGTGACATTGCTGTGAGGTTGCATTTACTTTTGTTGTTGCTGCATTTATCTATTAAATTTCTTTCTGGCATTTGTTGGTTTTATGGAATTTACCTGTTTATTTATGTTTATTCTAAATTGTGAAAATAAATAATTGGACTGTTTTACTTAGCTCGTCACTACTACTCAGTTCCTTAGTTATTTCTATTACTACTGAATTGTTTGTACTCATACTACATCCTGCACTTTATGTGTAGATCCAAGTATGTTAGAGTGTGATGATCGTTGATTTCAGGCCGGCTATCTGTAGAGATTGCAAGGCAGCTGTCAGCGTCCGCAGGACCTTGTTACTCCTCTTGTCATTTCTTCTTTTGGACAGTTAGACAGTTTATATATCTTAGTTTATAGTTTTAGACGCTCATGACTTAGTGACACCCCGATGTTTGGGGCTCGTTTTCGTATTTTATATTATTTATATTTACAGTTGGTTTAGTTTATCAGGAATTAAATTATTGCAAATGTTTTATTAAATTCTTATAATCAAATTAATAGTAATATTTTGGGAATAGGCTTTCCTTGTAATACGATAGGCGCCATCACGACCATGTTTAGATTTTGGGTCGTGACATCCTCACTTTGTACCCCTCCCGTTTTCCCAAAAAATGAAAAGAGGAAATCTTGACAAACAATTTTCAAAGTTTCTAGATATTTTAAAGCAACTTTATATTAACATACCTTTCATAGAAGTTTTGACACAAATGACTTTATATACTAAATTTCTCAAAGAAATTTTGTCAAGTAAAAGAAAATTGGAAGAAGTTTCAGTTGTTAAGCTTACAGAGAAATGTAGTGCTATACTTCAAAAGAAGCTTCCACAAAAACTTGGCGATCCAGGGAGTTTTATAATTCCTTGTACTGTGGGAGGTGCTCACTTTAAAAAGACATTATGTGATTCGGGTGCTTCAATAAATCTAATGTCTTTCTCAATTTTCAGGAAATTAAAACTTAGTGAAATGAAAGATACTGGTGTGTCTCTTTAATTAGCTGATCAAAGTACTAAAAGGCCCAAAGAAATAATTGAAAATGTCCTCGTTAGAGTAGATAAATTTGTACTCCCAGTACTATAAAATCACTGGGACTTGTATTCATCTTTGAAGTGGAATACAAGATAAATTATAGTACTATAAAATCTGTACTCACTACTAAAAGGCCAACTCTATTATTCACTTCAAAGATGAATAAAATTTGTACTCCATCATGGAAATGAACAACATTTTAAGTCACTGCCATGATGGAGCTATAGGAGGACACTACGGAGGAAGAAGGACAACAACTAAAGTACTTGAAGTTGGTTTTTTCTGACCTACTTTGTTCAAAGATGCAAAAAATTTTGTTGCCCCTTGTGACCAATGTCAAAGAACCGGTAACATTTCAAAAAGGGATGAAATATCTCTTAACTCTATTATTGTGTGTGAAATATTTGATGTTTGGGGCATTGACTTCATAGGTCCTTTTACTCTTTCAAATGGTTGCGAATATATTTTAGTTGCTGTTGATTATGTCTCAAAATGGGTAGAAGCAATTGCTACTAAAAAAATGATGCTCGAGTTGTTTGCGATTTTCTTAAGAAAAATATCTTTTCTAGATTTGGAACTTCACGAGTTATCATAAGTGATCAAGGAACTCATTTTATAAATAGACAATTTGCTGCTTTGTTGTCAAGATATGGAGATACTTATAAAATAGGAACTCCATATCATGCTCAAACAAGCGAACAAGTAGAAGTATCCTACAGAGAATTAAAAAGAATTTTAGAAAAAACTGTTGGCTCTTCTCGAAAAGACTGGTCTCTAAAATTAGATGACGCTTTGTGGGCTTACAGAACTGTTTTCAAAACTCCAATAGGCACATCTCCTTATAGACTAGTTTTTGGAAAATCTTGTCATTTACCTATAGAGTTGGAACATAAAGAATATTGGGCTATAAAATTATTAAATTTAAACTTGCCAGTTACCGGGAAAATCATCTACTATAGCTTGATGAGTTAGAAGAGTTTAGACTTACAACATATGAAATACTAATTTGTACAAAGAAAAAACAAAAAAATGACATGACAAGTTCATTCGCCATAAAAGCTTTAAAGTTGGAGATAGTGTTCCGTTATACAATAGTCGATTGAGATTATTTCCAGGAAAGTTTAAGTCACGATGGACTGGACCGTATGTCATAACTGAAGTATCCCCTTATGGTGGTGCTATTGAAATACAACACATGAATGGGGGAAACAAATTCAAAGTGAACGGACATCGTCTGAAACCTTATGCCACCAGAACATTTGACAAACAGGTTTCAACAATCCTTATTGCTTAAACAATAAATATTTTAATTAAGTATATATATATTTTAATTTACTATAAAAATAAAAAAATAAAAAATTCTATTTTTGTATGTTTGCGTAATTTTTAGCAGTTTGCTATGACATAGTTAAAGAAAATAAAAATTAATTAAATAACAAAGGTAAAAAAAAAGATTTTAAAAAAATTGCTCAAAACAAATGAAAGATCACGTTCAGTTGGCAAAGGTTGTTCAGGGGTAAAACTTATCAAAATAACCGCCTAAAAATTGGTTACCGTGGTTTTAACCAAAAAAAAGGGGAATTGTAAATAAATAAGAAGTTTTAACCTCACTTTTATCTCTCCCACAAACCAAACAAACAATTCCACAGTAAAGGAAAACCCTTCCTTTCTCTTGCTTCAGCCCCCATTTTACAGGACATCACCCATCTCTGTAATTTCTCAGCCATGGCTATCACATAAGAAAAAAAAAGAATTTTTGTCTTCTCTTTTTCTTATCTTCAACAAATTTCACTATCTTTACACCTCTTTGTTTCTTCTCTGTTCAATTTTCCAAATACACAAATCAGGTTAGACACTTGATTTTCACTTGAAAAAGAAAAATAATGAATATTGCACAAGTAACTCTTTCAAATAACTCAAATAACTCTAAAAGGGAAATCCTTGACTCGGAATCATGGAGACTAAGAGCAGAAAATCAGAGAGTGGTTGAAGAATATGAGATGTTGCTTTTCCCTTCTGATGGTTTGAAGGCACAAAAAAATTTACAAACAGTCAATGCTTTTGGTTAGAGGTCTTTTGTTCAGTGCCCGGAAGACTAAAATCGAAACATAATTCTGGAGTTCTACAACAATTTTAATCCAGTAAGTTGTACTTCAACCGTGAGAGGTAAAATCATTCGCTTTGATGCTGAATTTATAAATGATATTTTTAACTTGAGAAACACTGATGATAGTGAAACCAAGAAATTTATGGATGATCAAGATGTAGATTTTGTAAGACTTGTGTTGGGCGACTTGTGTCCTAATGGTGTTAAAGTTTACTTGAGAACTGTTGAACGTCCTTTGAGTATTAACTATTCATGTATGCTTGAATTAGCAAGAGCCTGGGGTAGATTCGTTAGTTCTCACTTAATCCCGTAGTTGAATACCTCGAACTACAATATAGAATGAGTTCTTTCGATATATGCGATTATGCATGAATTACCTGTGAATGTGGGGATATTGATTAACAACGGTATGGTTAGTTGTCGGATCAAGTCTGATTATGAATGCTTGTATTTTCCTTCAACTATCACTCGTTTGGTCTCCTTATTTGATGTGGATTTGAGTGATTTACCGAAGACTGAAAATTCTTACTTCATCGGCAGTGACTTTCTCCATAGTTTGAGACCTCCTACTGGTCCAACTCAAGTTGAACATGAATAAATGCTTTTTGATAGTGGAAACGAAGCGGAGAATGAGCCAAAACAACCTTTTAATTCAGAAATTGGAACCACGGCTACCATCCTCGTTCCTGATATTCTGGTTAGTATGCAAGTATTGTTACAAAGGCAGACAGAATTGATGAACAATTGGGAGATTTTCATAAGTGAACAAGTAGTGTGTGAAGCAGTATTGTCACTACATGTTGAACACATCATGAAAGAATTAACAGAAGCTAGAAATACTCATATCTCATATGCAAAACTTTGCAAAATCAATTTGCATATACCTCTCCCATGATCTACACAATGGGAACTATGATGTGCAATATTGCTAACACTATGAGAAGTTCTAATATTCCAAGTTTTTTCCCTCATTTTACTGTTCCAGGTGGTGGTAGCCTTAATGTTACAGGTGAAAATCTCTATCAGGGAACACATGTACTTGTACCAACACCACTTCCCACAACAATGATAGATTTAAACAGGGGAATGTCACAACCCTATACCTAGACTCGGTCGTGATGGCGCCTCTCGTGAAGACAAGGCCAGCCGACACAACACCCAATTTATTTTTAAGCAATTAAAATAATATAATTAAAGTCATTAACATGATTAAATCCCAAAGAAATAGTGAAATAGTACAATTTATGAAATAAACATAGCCCGACATCGGGGTGTCACCAGTCATGAGTCTAACATAGTCTAAGAGTATGAAAGAGTTTATAGAACTATTAAATAATTAGGACAAGGGAAATAAAATAAGAGGGAGAAACACTGGGCTGCGAACGCCGGACAGCTACCTAGTGGACTCCGAATAGCCTGCTGAGCAATCAACCCTCAATGGTGGGACTTGAAGCTACTGAATCTGCACACAGAGTGCAGGGATTAAAGTGAGTACTCCAACTCAGTGAGTAATAACAATAAATGAAGAGTGAGTGATAAGACATCACGTGAAAACACAACAACATGCTATAAAGAAGCAGAGTAAAACCAAATAAACGCAATAAATAGTGAAATCTTATAAAATACCTTGGTTCAAAGTAAGCTTCTTTAAAACACCTTTTCAACAATAAAAAAAGTAAATGAAAAGCAGCTAGGAAAGATAAACACTAAAATCCGCCCCTCGGGCACAATGTCAACAGAATCAGCCCCCCGGGCAATAACATGGAACAACACTAGCCCCTCGGGCTATATCTCATATCACAATGGTAGCCCGATCACATGATAGTCCTCACAACACAGGCCCTCGGCCCTAGTCAGTCAGAAATCTCTAAAAACCACTCGGGCACAGTAAAATATGATGCTCAGCCCAAAATATCATTTAAAGTGTTAAAACAAAGTAAACATGGCTGAGTTATGAAAACAGTATAATTTAGCATGACTGAGTACAAATATAAAATCAAAACAGTGAGGAAATAATAGTAAAAATCGCCTAAGGGTCCAAATAGTTGGCACGAGCCCCAAATATGGCATTCAACCCAAAGCATGATGATGGCAAGCAGTTTTCAATCAAATACACAGTAAAACAGTCATTCGAGATGGACTAATCACAATCCCCAACGGTGCACGTCCCCACGCTCGTCATCTAGCGTGTGTGTCACCTCAATATAGCACAACGATGTGAAATTCAGGGTTTTATACCCTCATGACTCACCTCTATCTGGTCCAAACTCTGGTCCGCGATGCGTTTTCCTCTCGAATCAGCATCTGGATGCTCCAAATCTAACAAAATCAGTGCAAAGCCATCAAAATATGCTAAGGTAACAAAGCCCACTCGAAAAAAATCGAATTACAATACAAATCCCCAAATTGGCCAAACCTGACCCCCGGGACCACGTCTCGAATTCCGATAAAAATTATAGCAATAGACTCCTTATCACTCCCCGAGTTCATTCATATCAAAATCACCAAAATCCAACCACAAATGTTCCCTCAAATCCCTAATTTTAGGTCTCCAATTACAAGCCCTAGTTCTTCAATATTAGGCTTAAATTCCATGATTAATTAGGTGGAAAACACATTAAGATTGAGTATAAAGTCCATAAATCTTACCTCTAAGTGTTCCCCCTTGATTCCCTCTTCAATCCCCTTCAAAAAGCTTCAAAATCGCCCAAAATGGAGGAACTTATGCTCAATATCGCGAAAATGAGCTTTTAAAACATTCTGCCCAGACATTTCAATCCTTCTTCACGAACGCGGTCAACCCCTCGCGTTCGCGAAGCAAAAACTTAGGTTGACCAGAATTTCCTCTTACGCGAACGCGACGACACCCTCGCGAACGCGATGCCTCAATACGCAACCCTTCGCGGACGCGATATCACCCTCGCAAACGCTATGACCAACGAGCTCAACCCTTCATGATCGCGGGACCTCCTTCGCGAATGTGAAGATCAACTTCACAGCCTCCCAGCCTAACCCTTCGTGAATGCGAAGGCCAATTGTCTGCAACACCCAACAACAAATTTCTGCAATCGTTTTCAACATGAAATGGTCCGTTTAACCACACGAAACTCACTTGAGGCCCTCGAGGCCTCAACCAAACATGTCAACATATCCCATAATATCATTCAAACTTGTTCCAACCTTCATAACGCTCAAAACAACATCAAAACACCAAATTCGCATCGGATTCAAGACTAAGAATTCCAAAATCTTCTAAATTCCGCTTTCGATCAAAAAGTCTATCAAACCATATCTGAATGACCTGAAATTTTGCACACACATCCCAAATGACATAGTGGACCAACTGTAACTTCCAGAATTCCATTCCGACCTCTATATCAAAATCTCACGTATCAACCGGAAAATGCCAAAATTCCAATTTCGCCAATTCAAACCTAAATCTACTCTGGACCTCAAAAACACTTTCAGATCACATTCCTATGCCCCAAATCACCTCCCAAAGCTATCCAAACCCTCGAAACTCACATCCAAGCCCTTTAACACATAAGTCAATATCCAGTTGACTTTTCCAACTTAAGCTTACTCAAAAGAGACTAAGTGTCTCAAACCTTACCAAAACCTCTCAGAACCCGAGCCAACTAACCGGTAATACAAAATACAGCTAAACAAGGCAATAAGAAGCAGAAATAGGGGAAACAAAGCTGTAACTCATGAAACGACCGGCCGGGTCGTTACATTCTCCCCCTCTTAAACAAACGTTCGTCCTCGAATAAGTCAAGAAACATACTTGAAGCCTCAATTAGGTGAGGATATCTACTCCGTATCTCCCGCTCAATCTCCCAGGTAGCCTCCCCCACGGGCCGACCTCTCCACTGCACTTTCACTGAAGCTATATCCTTTGATCTCAACTTTCGAACCTGACACTCCAAAATAGCTTCTGATTCCATATCATAAGTCAAATCATCATCTAACTGAACCATACTGAAATCTAGAACATGAGACGGATCTCCAATATACTTCCGGAGCATAGAAACATGAAATACCGGATGCACACTCGACAAGCTGGGTGGCAAAGCAAGTTTATAATTCATCTCCCCAATCCTCCGAAGCACTTCAAAAGGCCCGATGAATCGAGGACTCAATTTCCCTTTCTTTCCAAATCTCATAACACCCTTCATGGGTGAAACCTTCAACAGAACCTTCTCGCCATCCATGTAGGACACATCTCGGACCTTCCTGTCAACATATCTCTTTTTCCTCGACTGCACTATACAAAGCCTCTCCTGAATCACCTTCACCTTCTCCAAAGCATCCTGCACCAAATCACCTCACCCGGCTCAAACCAACCGACTAGAGATCTACACCGCCTCTCATACAAAGCCTCATATGGAGCCATCTGAATACTCGACTGGTAGTTGTTGTTATAAGAAAACTCCGCGAGCAGTAGAAATTGATCCCATGACCCTGCAAAATCAATGACACAAGCACATAACATGTCCTCCAATATCTAAATAGTGCGCTCAGACTGCCTGTCCGTCTGAGGGTGAAAAGTTGTGCTCAACTCAACCTGAGTACACAACTCTCGCTGCACAGACCTCCAAAACTGCAAATTAAACTGAGTGCCCCTATCTGAAATGATGGAAACTGGGACACCATGCAAACGAACAATCTCCCGGATATAGATCTCTGCCAACTGCTCTGAAGAATAGGTAGTACACACAGGAATGAAGTGCGCGGAGTTGGTCAGCCGATCCACAATCACCCAAATAGCATCGAACTTGTTCAAAGTCCGTGGGAGCCCAACTACAAAATCCATGGTGATCCGCTCCCACTTCTACTCTAGAATATCCATCCGCTGAAGCAAGCTACTCGGTCTATGATGCTCATATTTCACCTGCTGACAATTGAAACACCGAGCTACAAATCCCACAATGTCCTTCTTCATTCCCCTCTACCAATAATACTGTCTCAAATCCGTATACATCTTCGCGGCACCCGGATGAATGGAATACTGTGAGCTATGGGCCTCCTCCAGAATCAACTCCTGAAGCCCATCTACATTGGGCACACATATCCGGCCATGCATCCTCAACACCCAATCATCACCAATGGTCACATCTCTGGCATCATTGTGCTGAACTCTGTCCTTAAGGACAAGAAAATGGGGATCATCATACTGGCACTCTCTGATGCGATCATATAAAGAAGACCGAGAAATCGCACAAGCCAATACCCGACTGGGCTCCGAGATATCTATCCTCACGAACCGATTGGCCAAGGCTTGAACATCAACTGCAAGAGGTCTCTCCCCAACTGGAATATATGCCAAACTCCCCATACTCACCACCTTCATACTCAAGGCATCGGCCACCACATTGGCCTTCCTCGGATGGTACAATATAGTAATATCATAATCCTTTAGCAACTCCAACCATCTCCGCTGCCTCAAATAGAGATCATTTTGCTTGAACAAGTGTTGGATGCTACTATGATTAGTAAACACCTCAGAAGACACACCATACAAATAATGCCTCCAAATCTTCAATGCATGAACAATGGTAGCCAACTCCAAATTATGAACAGGGTAATTCTTCTCATGTGACTTCAACTGGAGAGTATCATAAGCAATAACTCTACCATTCTACATCAACCCACACCCAATACCAACTCTCTAAGCATCACAATACACGGTATATG